CAAATAAACATTTTAATTTCAAATACCTAATGGAATTGGTAAAACTTACTTGCTTCATTGTTAACAAAAAAAAGTAGAAATTGAAGGAAGTCGATTTTGTTACTTGCTTCACCCGATTGACATACTTGAATGTTGATTAATCCAATTATCCAACAATGAAATCGATGAAGGATTGTGCGAACAGGAGGTCACGACCGTCGACAGGAGCCAAGGATGAATGATCAAAGTTGGGAAATTAGAAGTCGAGTAGTCGACTGATTGTTTATTTTTTTTCCTCGTACCGATAATACACTACTCAATTAATTAGGATTGTGCTATTTTTTTACAAACAATTAGCCAAATTGCTAATTTATCCAATTAATGTTTTATTTTGGGCTTTGGACAATTGGACTATTAGACAATAATTGATTAAAACATTGGACTAATTATTTATTTTTTTTCGTTTAGTAATTCTCGATAGAGTGACAATTTTTTTTACGTGGCTGCACAAATTTTTTTTTAGTAGTTGTACGATTTTTTTTACGTAGTATTAAAAAAACGGAATTTTTTCTACCACGTGCACGAAAGTTAGGTGTTGCCGGTGGCACACCGGACACCTAGCTAGGACTGCCCCTATCCACATGTTATTATTTTATATGAGTAGGAAGAAGAAGGATAAGAGGATGATATTTATTTTTCCATATATTATATATCCACCATTTGCTAATAGTTTTAAAAAAATTCATAAAGTGATGGTTGATTACTATGGAGGCAATTAAAAAAAATATTCACAAAATTTGAAAAATCAGAATGAAGTAAACAATCACCCAGTATTCAAGCAGCAACATGCAATTTTATCTATCCACAGAGATGGATTTGTAATGTTCATATGATTGGATTAGATTCCTATAAATAGAATCTAATGTAGGACCCCTTTTGATCTATTATAGTTTTATGGCATGCTTGAACACCACAATTTCCAGAATTTCAAGATTTCATTCCCACGATCAAATGGTTGGTGTTCCTTCATTTTTATATAGAACTTGATCCAGCATGTGCAAATTATGCAACACTAACAAACAATTCATCTCCCTTTATCCAAAAAGCAAATGATAAAGATAAATGACCTAGTTAAAGATACCTTTTGCCTCCTTCATTATCTTATAAAATATTATGTCTAAAACTAGTGTTGTAAACCGTATTCCCTACCACTATTTCAACAAATTTATGATAAGTCGTGATTTACTTTCTCTAAGTAGCTAATCATTGTCTGTGAAAATTGAAAGGAACCAACAAATAGATGTATGGTGGGAACTTTGAATATATATGGACGTGAATCTCTAAATATGTTGTTATGTTGTGTTGATAATGAAGATTGAAAAGACTGAAAACCACATAGCAACGATATGGGAGTCGAGGTTCTCTCGATTTAAAAGCATAAAAGATACTTTCATTTATGTTCGTTAATGTCTAGATGAAGTTTATTTATTTTTCATTTGTTTTATCCTGGAGCACAGTCACAACATAGTAGATAAATTATTTTAAAGAAATTATGCTCCATACAACTTCAGATTCCCTTATAAATTTCATTTTCCAATTTAACGTTTTGTCTTATGTTTTAGGCCTCCTTCACCGCCTTAAAAATATTACGCCTAAAACTAGTGGTATAAACAGTTTTCCCAAGAAAGTGTGAGCTGGTTCTAAACCAATTTTCCTAGTTTTTCATCGGATCCTAAACCGGGTTTCAACATGTGCAATGGAACCCTCTTAATCCGATTGAATTGGATCAAACCACCAAGTTTTAGTGGTTCTCGACCAACCCATTTTCGGTCTGTTTCAAAATCAATATCAAATAACTTTATTGTACACCTCTACCTTTTGGGATAGAAACGCACAAGACCGATTTATTTTGAATATGAAAAAGGGAAAATGATTTTAAAAGGTAACGATATTTTAAAAAATATATAAAAAAGATCATTGTTTTTTTTTTTTTTTTTTTGTACACAAAGTATCATTTTACCGGCTATTGTAGGCTATCCGGTTTTCAAATGTTCAAGAAATATCATTGTTGTTTTTTTAGTACAAAAAATATCATGAATGTTACTATTTGTACACAGAATACCAAAGAAGTACACATATGTTCAACTAGAACATTTTGATAACCAGGTACTTCAGGTAAATGAGAAAATGACTTAAAAGTGTAACGAAGTTTTCAAAATGTTTAAAAAATACCACACTTTTTGTTAATTGTATTGTTGTCGGATTATGAAGAACACAATCACCGAAGATCATGAACCGTCAAATCAGTGCACAACAATTGTGCAAATATCTTTCATTCCTTCACTCGATCATTCTTATGGTAACAAGAGAAGTAAATGGATAATAACATTAGTTAAAAATTCTTGCTTCCCGATCACATTATATGCCTCAAACCTAAAACAATTATACGTTATATAGATGCACATATTATACATCAAGGTTAGCCATTCATTAGTGTTGCGGCACAAGAGAGACACAAATGAGAAACGAGTGTGATGTTATGTCATGAGAATTCCTAAATATGGATTTAGATACAAATTGATCAACTGATGGAATAAAAGATAGTACACAATAGGAGTGAACTCGTACGATGGTAACTAATCTCCGATTACCTTGTTCTATATAATCCGGAAACAATGAAGTTAACAAAAGGCGCTATGAAAAAACAACAATGATTTTTTTTGAATATTTTGGAAATTTCAATGATATTTTGTATACTAAAAAAATAATGGTATTTTTTGAATATTTTTGAAACTTTCTTACCTTTTAAAGACATTTTTCCGTTACCTACGGTAACCGGTTACCCACATGGTTTTATTTAAACACATGTGTACTTCATTGGTATTTTGTGTATAAAAAATATACTTTAATGGTATTTTGAGTACTAAAAAAACAAATGAAACTGCCTCAGAACTGCCGGTTCCGGAACCGGAACTGCCTTAAGTGGTTCCGGTTCTGGTTCCTAAAGTTATTGAACCGCTTTAAGCGGTTCCGGTTCCAGTTCTCATTTTCTCCGAACCGCTACCCGTTGGGTATCCGCTAGAATATATATATATATATATATATATATATATATATATATATATATATATATATATATATATATAGAGAGAGAGAGAGAGAGAGAGAGAGAGAGAGAGAGAGACACACACACACACATATTTTTCGTACACGATCCGCAAATATAAAATAAATAAAGTATCTACTTTAAAGCCTTAACATTACCAAAGCATATTGTTGCAGTTTCATATTCAAAAAAAATTGTGCAGTATTATTTAGACCGGTTTAGAATATATTTGTCTGGTTTTATCCGTCACTGGTTCATTTTGATTTGATTTAGACCGAACTAAATTGCGGTTTTTATTGACAAAAGTAAACAAATATTGAAGCAACCGGGTTACCCAGTCTTAGAACCGGAACCGTCGGTTTTGAGACTGGTTCCAAAAATTAAGAATTGTCTAGACTGGTTTCGGTTCCGGTTCCGGTTCTAACTTTCTAGGAATCGCCGGTTCCGGTTTCAGTTTTTGCAAAATGAGACGGGTACCTGCCTATGCTCAACCCTAATTTTTAAGTCATTTTCCCTATGAAAAAAAATAAAATGTTTAGATAACTGTTTTTTTAAAGCATATATGTTTTAAGATAGGTTTTATCCGATTCCAAAACAAGTTATTGTCTTATAAAAAATTCCGATCAAAACCGATTTGGTTTTAACTGCAATCCGATACCCAAAATCCAATGCCATCTGATCCTATTAAAAAAAAACACGGGTTATGATTAAAACCAAAGTTTTGTGCACCACGGTTAAACTTAAATAGCCTTTATATGGGCCTTTATTGATTGGGCTTAATCAATATTACGTTTTGGGATCAAGGCCTTATCTAGTGTGATTCCTAACACAATTATTCCATCATCTAAACAAGTTTAACAAATAACAGTAACCAAAAGCAAAATAACACTCTCTAAAACCATATCCTCTCTCAATAATCCTATAAACTACATACCTACTTTGTGCCAAAATAGTGCTGAAAGGTTTTTGTAGCATTTTTTTTTCCCCTTGTTATCAACCATAGGGCGATTGATATCTTGCAATGTAATGAAAAATAACCCTTAAAACTTAAGCATATTAACCGATAAAATAAACCAAACATATCAGATAAACATCCAATAAATGTGAGAACTCCTCGTTAAGAAAAATATTTCAAAAACTGATCAGGTCATCAATGTGGTTCAACTTAAGTTCTGATATTTGGATGTCGGAATACGTGTGTAACTTGTAACTCTGGCTTCTTGTTAGGTTTGTTTTTTAATAATACTTCTTACTGTTCAAAATAGTGCTGAAAGGTTTTTGTATCATATTTTTTTCACGTTTATATGTAAGTGGTTTCTTTTTACTCTTTATTCTAAGTTTCTTTCTTTTGCATAACACTCACGCAACTATCTTCATAAGGTCCTATGAAGGTCAAGTCTAATCTAAAATCAACAAAAAAAATTAGTGAAATATGTTTATATTTCAGCTTCTATATAAGAATACTGGTCTAGAGTAATGTCACAACATTCTCCATAATAAGCTTATATTGGTGACCTTTATGAACTTACACAGCAAAACATTCCAAAGGAATAGCGTTGATCTTAAATCTGTAGTTTTTATGTTATATAAGCCAAAAACAGAACACCTAATTTGATCTAAAATCAATAACCAACGGCATGCTTATAAGAACAGTTTAAACTTTAAAGTAACAAAACAAAATCAAGATACTACAATCCTCAAATTATTTGTCTATGATATCCATCAAACAATGAAAATTCTAAACCTCTCTTCTCTCTTCTCATTGACATGTCTTTTTACTGACTTGTATTCATTAGAAATAAGATATAAATCAAATAACAAATAAGTTAATAACAATACATATAATAAATGAGTTATGAGTAGAAACTATAACTGGTTGACACATACCCCCACCCCCATCCCTGAAGCAATTAACAGAAAGGGGAAATTATGCCAAAAGAAGTTGGTAAGGACAAAAGGTAAATAAGAAAAATATGAAGAAGAAATGGCAAATTATTCAGCTTTTGCTTTTGTTTCTTACCCTTCTCCTCTCTCTCACCAAACCAAGAACAAGAACAAGACCAAGTTGGAAGAATTTCTCCCCAATTCGCATCTTCGTCTTCAATCAACACAGGTTCGCTTCGCTAACTTTTCTTTACGTGATTTCATATCGTAGTATCAGTATGTATCTTGATGCGAGGATCATAAATTACCAGTTTCCTCTTCTCTACTAGCAGTATTTGTAACAAGACGGGTTTTATAAGGTTTTAATTTCTTCGTTTCGGCGGTTTTTGTTTTTAGAGTAAAACTTTCCTCCTTTGTACAAAAAGTTATGATTTCTCCCCCAGAGGTTTGTTTTACTGCATAAATGGTTCCCAAAGTGTAATTTCATTTCACTTTTGGTCCCTGGTTTGAACGACGCTAAAATAACCTACGTTAAATCTACGAAAAGTGACTAACTTGCCTCATCAAACCCTCAAAGAATTGCGATCTCAGATCAAAAGAATGGAAAAAAAGATGAAAGTAAATATCGTCATCAACAATATAACAAGCATTAAAAGTTATTTTAGAGAGTTTTTGGTTTAGATTTGATTTTGAAGTTTAAGACGAAGGAATTATTGAGAAAATTTTATGGGGGTTTTCATTAAAGAAGACTAGAGTATATGAAATGACAAAAATATGTTAAAATTGTCAAATATACAATATCCTTCCTAAGTGAAATTTTTATACTATCTCAACAATATGTTAAAATTGTCAAATTGTCAAATTTTTATAATTCTTTAATATTTTGTTACAGATCGTGAACAATGGAGGTGATGTGTCTTTTTATCTCAGCAGTCCGTACGGTGTTGAGCTTTCTAGGCCTCCAATTTTGGATCGAACTTTCTAATGCGAAACCAAATTCAGAAGTGGAAAATCCATATATCACTACTGCTTTGGTGCTCAACTTTATATTCAACGTTTATAAACTCATCTTTATATATATCTCTTAAGGTATTCATGTTTTCTATATCTTAATTACTATATTCTTGTCTCTCACTAATGTTTTATTCGTTAGATATTGTATCTTGATATTTTTCTTCATGCAGACAATATATTTTGTTGAATCTTGGAAATTGGTGAAGCGACTCTTTAAGTATGTTCTCTACAAGGTAGGCACGAGTATTATGTCCATGTGAATGATGTATGCGTACCTATAGCTGACTCACTATATATTTTATTTTGTAGGGAACGTTTCTTGCGGCTGTAGTCCCACTAACACTACCTCATGCAGGATTGTGGTTTACATGGTTGACCATAGTATGCACTTTGAAGGTATATATATATATATATATATATATATATATATATATATATATATATATATATATATATTTGTTTTTTTAAATAGTGCAAAATGCATATAAAAAGCAAATTTCATCGGGTTTACTTTTCATTTTGTATACAGATGTTTGAAGCTCTAGCTAGCTAGGGAGCGACTTGAACAGTTGAATACATCTTCTCCTAATTATGCAAGTCTTCGGAATTACTTGGGCGTATATTCTGTTTTATTGGTGGTTTTCATTCTCGATGCAATTTGGTATATATTCACTTTTTATAATTCTTAACGCGTTTCAGTTTATATAGTGGCTTTGCATATTATGGAGGATTCAGGTTATCTATTTATTTATTTTTTTGCAGGATAAGGATGTGTCTAGTTATCTACCAAGCAATACCATCATCCATGTTCTTGTTATTATTCTTTGAGCCTCTTAGTATTGCTTTCGAAACACTACAGGCACACACACTGACATCACATACTATAATTTTGTTTCCTTGATCTGTAAGTTTTCATAAGGGAAAATGATTTAAAAGACCAACGAAGTTTTCAAACCATTCAAAAAAACCCAACCATGTTTTGTCTGTTTAAAAAAACCCAACGAACTTAACATTTTATCTAAAAAATCCAACAAAGTTTCAAACCATTCAGAAAATTTCAATTTTGTTTTGTTTAAGTTCGTTGAGTTTTTTTTGAACAGTCAAAACATGATTGAAGTTTTTTAAACGTTTTGCAAACTTCGTTGGTCTAACAAGTCATTTTTCCGATACGGTAATAAGCCACGTCATCTGTTTCTCTTATTTGACTTTCGAGAAAGTGTAACTTAGTTGGGCTTTTTAGATAAAATGTTAAGTTTGTTGGGTTTTTTTGAACAGACAAAACATGATTGAGGTTTTTTAAACGGTTTGGAAACTTCGTTGGGTTTTTAAGTCATTTTCCCTTTTCATAATTAACGTGGCTGATAATAAGTTTTTTGGTCTACATTGATCATATTGGTTTAATTTAGGGCATTTTGGTTCATGGATTTCAATTGGTTGGTATATGGGCTCATCACTCACGAGGCAAAACAACAGATTCCAAACTATTAACGTTTATGGATACGTCAGCAGCACCAGGCAAGACTCTGTTTTTTTTTTTTTTTTTTTTTTTTTGTTATTCTACTATTTGTATTTCCTTCATTTGCGTATTCTAGACATGACTTTTACGTGTAGGTTCACAATTGGAATGGGGATGGAAGCTTGTTATATTTCAGCATGTATGCTTTTTCCTAGATATTATGACGTTGTTAATGGCTTTTGGGCACTATGTGCAAATATGGCGGCTTAATGGGATGCCATTCCTTATGCTTCTCCTATGTAAGTTCTTTGATATGTTCTAATTCTACTTTCAAGTTGCTTTTTTGTGTATTTATTCTCCTCTTCCACCCCTTCCCCAAAGGAAAAAAAAAATATCAAGCTACATTTGCTTACAAGAATGTATGTCGTATGCAGTTCTTGTTCATTGCATTATTGTTGGGCCTTAATCACCATGTTAACCATCATCTAATTATGTTTGTAAGTTTATTAAGGGTAGTTTATCACATTGTGTTTGTAATTTTATTTAACATGTGAACTTGTTTAATTAAGTTTTATGTTTTTTTAATTCAAGGGGTCGTATTGAGTTTAGCGATTTTAATTATGTTTTTTTATTTAGTTTTTGTGTTTTTTATTTTAGATAATTTTATTTTAAAACATTTTTTTACAGTAACTTAGTATATTTAAGCTAAAAAGTCGCCATTACATTTGGGCACAAGGCCGTATCTAGTGTAATTTCTAACATAATCTCTACACCATCGATCTAAACTAGAGGTGCACAAGGCTAATCGGTTTCTTTAACGGCTCCATAAAACCAAATTGATTATTTTATAATCGGTGCAACTAAAACCGAATCGTCAGTTTAATATACGTTAAAAAAACTGAAAATAGGTTTTTTCTAAAAAAAAAAAAACAAAGTAAACCGTTTTTATACTAAAAAAAAACAATTTTTTTTAAACAAAATTTCACTTAAAAAAACCAAAAAAATCAAATCCATTATAACTAAAACTAGTTTAGAGAAAACCGTTTTTTTTTAACTGAAACTAGATTACAACCGGTATTTGTATACCTTTAATTAGAGATGACAATGAACATGTATGTGACATGTATTGGTGAGTTGCATCCCATACACAATTATAAAATTATATACACAATCCGGTCCCATCCCGCTAGGTACCCTGTCAGTAAATACTCATTGGGTTTGCAAGTATTTCCGTGGGATTCAAGTATCACATTTATGGTATTTAAAAGTTCAAATTTATTGATTGGAACTTTCATTACTAAATACCCAAATTGCAATTGTATCCAAAATGACTTGATCTTTTTTTTTTTTTTTTTTTTTTTTTTTAATTATGATTTCTAACAACATCAACAAGTTTACTGTGATATAAGTGTTGCAAAAGTGTAAGCATGACCACAGTTTTTTTCTTTATAACATTCGAATTTCATGATAAACCAATCAAGATCATAATATGAATATTATAGACATTATCAATAAGTCATATTTTCATAAATATGTAGTAATTACATAAGAAAAACTTTCTATTTATAATGTCACATATAATATATTAATAGGATTTTGAAATCGAATATTAATAATAAAAATATAAGTATTACATAATATAGTTGCTCCGAGGCAAGTAAAATGGATTGCATATAGGATTGGGTAATCGACAGTATAACCTTAATATCATAATCATCCAAAACCTGTGAAATATTTTGAAAAATATCTCATACATGGTACCATGACCGTTAGCTAGGCCCAAAATTTGTCTAAAAAATTTCGGGTTCGATTTTTTCCGCCAGGTTCTAGTATTTTTGTTATCCTTACCTCTAATTTCTAAAGTAGTTTAATTAGTAGCTTAACCACAAGCAAAATAGCACTCTCTAAAACCATAGCTAAAAGGTTTTTGTGACAATCTTGTTCTTTCATTATTTTTGTTAGCTGTCTCTCTGTAAATTGTAAGGGCATGCAGAATGGGCTTGCAAGACCCAATCAGGCTAGAAATCGTAGTAGCATCCTTAGCACATTGCCAAATAAACGTTTGAGATTTTTTGATGTCATGTAAACTTTGCGTGTTGCCTTGTAAAAGTTGGAAAGTGGTAATCAAGTCATTTAAACATAGATGATTAAAAAAAAAACAAATTAAGGCCAACCAATCATAACCCACATTTCCCCATTCTCTCTCCTATTTCTTCTCAGTTTGGCGAGCATCTTTGACGAGACCCCTTAACATAAGCTAGTTAGTGTTTGGTGCATTTTGGTGAGACTAGTGACCCCCACTCCCCACATGGGCAATAGGGAAAATGTTAAGTCAAATACTCACCTTGGCGTTGTAAGGCCAATGTAATAAAACATATATATTTTTTGTGACTTACTAATAAAATCGTATTTATTTTAGAGAAATTAAATATCCTCCTACTTTTCTTCCTAAAAATCCTCCTACCCAAATTAAATGATGATATGTGTCATATTAGTATATTAAAATATCATTAAATGAGCATTAAATGTTACACATGTCACTATTTCATTGAGTAGGAGAATATGTAGGAACCAAAAATAGGAGGATATTTAATTTCTCTTTATTTTATATTTTATATCACATTAAATTAGCCTACAGATTTAATACACTATACAATCTATTTATTATATTAATTTACTCTAATAAATGAAGAGTTTTTTTTTGCCATACATAACTCTCTTATTCAATTTATCAAATGTCTTTTTGTAGTTATTTGAATTAATTTTTTTTCTACATATTATTTTATGTGTTTTTCTATTTAATAAATTCCACATAATACTTGAAGGTAATAACTATAATAAATGTAGTAATAAATGAATATAATTTTCATTAATGGATTTACCATCTTATTTTAAAATTCTAAAATTAAAGCTCATTAATTTATTTTGTTTATTTATTTACAATTAAAAAAAATCAATTTTAGTAATTCATTATTTTTTTTATTTTCTTATAAATCCAAAGTTTTAAATATTTAGACATTTATATTTATTTTTTTTAATTAGCTCATATAACACATAGGTCTTATACCTAGTTTAATATTATACAAATATATACTTTTACGATAACAAAGCTCAACATAAAAAAAAAAAGATAAGAGTTTGGAAAATATACGTCGTTGTGGTACTTTTATCCGATCTGCTTTGCTCATGAGATTGCAGAGCTGAGTAGTTTGTTAGAAATTAGGAACCATTATAGTATAAGATATACCATATATTGTTCCTATCCCAAATGGTAAATTGTAGATAATAATTAAGTTTTCACTTCTAAATTGATACAAAGTACAATTGAAAACAAAAGAAAGTAAACTAAAATATATGTAGGAATATTTGAATTACAACACATCCAATAACCTATTTCTACATCGTCACTTAAGTAACTTCTACATATCATCAATGTGAGTTTTGAATGTTTTGTTTTGAACAACAAGAAATGAATATTACAAAAGAAGCTAAAGAGGAGTTAGAGGTACATGAATTACACATACACCCGATTATAATCAATACACCAATCAATCCAATTAAGTGTGGCAACTTTACAAAAATGATTCTTAATCTAAAAAATGCATGAAATTGCACCTTAGTGGCTAATTCCTTATTGTTTTTAAGTTTTTTGTTCAACATCAGTTCTATAAATCCTACAAATTGCCTTGATTACTGCATTTTTCAGGTCTTCAAACATGATATTTCGCATTGTATCCGAGTTGAGTAATGAGTTGATATCAATCGGGTGATTAATGGATTGCACGGATGATGGGAAGACAAACCACCACCGGTTTGTAAGTGCCAAAACATCCTTAGTCATGGACTATTTCAAAGAAATATGTTATTCACTTTCTAGATGGGCATTACATAGGGGGCATATTACAAAAGAAATATGTATGCCTCTCTTTTCTAGATTCAACCTTACGAGTTTTGAATGTTGACTTGGAATTTTTATGTAAGATCTTCGTGTCACCCTCAAAATGTAAAGATTTAACCTATAAAATAACTAAAATGCGTACAATAAGAATCCAAGAAATGAAAAACCTCATGGTTAAGAAAAAAAAATAGAAACATCAATCGATGCTAACCTCAAAGTCTAAGTCTAGTATCAACAGGTAATTAGTAAATCATGAACACTATATTGAAATATATAGGCTAGGCAAGGGAAAACTAGTCCATAGATTTTGAAACAACATTTATTAAGTTAACTGTTATGGCAGTTACAGAAAGGAATTGATGCTTTGAAGGGTGACTTGGTCCAACAGTTCTTAAGGGTTGCATTGGTTCTAATAGAGAGTTATGATGGTTTTCTTGAATGGTTGTGATGGTTAAGAAGCAACCATCTCTGTGTGTGTGTGTGTATATATATATATATATATATATATATATATATATATATATATATATATATATATATATATATATATATATATATATATATATATATTGTAATTTGATGTAAATCGTGTTACTATTGTGATTAATAATAAAATCTTGTTTATTTGGACAAGAGTTTCTCCTGTTTTGTCTTTCGTCTTCAATGTTTCTCCAACAAACTCAAAATACAACACAATCAAGATACTCACCTAATAATAAAGATAGTAAACCTCTCTTTTATTATGGTTTGTTTATGGTCTCATGGGTTATGATGAAATGACAAATTATTCAGCATTTCCTTTATTTTTATATCGTTCTCCTCCATACCTTCTCCTAACAGTTTATCAAATTTTCCTATATAATATTCATTTGTATGTGGCATCGATGACTTACCACCCAACATTTAATATTTTCATTTGGATCAAAACATTTTGCGTATTTTTTCTTTTCTTGATTTCATCATGATTGCATTTGCATATCGACCAACTTATCAATATACTTGTTTCCTCTTTTACCCACAATAGTTGTAACTTGGTTTTGGTAGTTTTTATTTACAACTTTGCTCTTCTGGAAGTTATGATCTCCATCAAGATGTTTATTTTATTACAAAAATGGTCCCCAAAAATTAAATTTCATTTCACCTTCGCTTACTAGCTTGGATGACGCTAAACCTTTGTTAAATCTATGAAAAATGACTAACTCGCCTCATCACACTATTAAAGAATTGCTCTCCAACATTCACATGGTTTTGAAGTTTCTAACTTTTTGAACATGTCGTTCTCACATCCCAAAATTAAAAGAAGCTAAATGATTGAAATCAGGAAGCCTAAAAGCTTTTAATTTCATGTTAGATTGTGTTTCACTTGTATTTTAATTTTTTAGTGTTGATTTGATGTTTAAGATGGATGAGATTAAGGAATTTTTCTAAGGGTTTTCATTAACAAAGACGAAGAGTATGAAGTGACAAAAATACGTTATGGGTAAATGAAAAATGAAATATTATCCATACAAAGTGAAACTTTAATGAAGTACCGAACGAATTAGACCTTATAGAGCGTGAGAAAATAATATGTTAAAATATGACGATATTTGGTAAAAGTATATACATGTGGTTCCTTGATGGCGTATATAAGATTTAATAATCATGTAATATTCTAATTAAGGTCATTTATATTAAGATCCGATCGTTGATCACTAGGCAATGAAGGTCATGAAGTTTTATGTCTCTGTTGCCTTATTTACATTTTTTTTATCAATGGAATTGGACTCAACATTGTTATAGTTTTTGTTGAGCTACCTACAACTGAAGATCGAGTATTAGTTAAGAAACTAGTTAAGTATGAAATTAGGGAGCTTTTTTGTGACATGTTAGGATACACAATATAAGCTTTTGGAACCTCTCTTTCTCTACCTTTTTTCTTATGTTTTGCATCTACATTCATGTTAAAATACATATTTTTTCTAGGTTAGGACTACCTCGAAGAATCACTTATAGTTTTTTGATAGGTTTTCTAAGTTATAAAAAATTCATGTGGTGGAAAAACACTTAAACCTTTAAGTTCACATGCAACCTAGAAATGATCTATGTTTTCTCTATTGATAGCTATAAACTTTGAATATAAAGAAACCATATGAAGCCCTAATATAATCGAAATTACAATAAGGATTAGGGTTACATACCTTTTGATTAATATATCAATTTATCAACAAAAATCTTCATTTGAGTTCCTTGGAAAGCAAGCACCAAAAGCTTGAATGCCTCTAATGGCTTGTACCCAAAACCCTAGCTACTAGAAGACTTGAGGAGAGGGGAGGCTTAGAGAATTTTTTTGGCTCTTGTGAGTTATATAGAGTGCATGGTGAACTAAGTGTAGAATCTTGAAACTCCAAGCCACTCCAAGCTTGCTTAGGATCTCCTTCTTCTTGAATGAACTTTACAAAGACCACAAAACCCACTCCTTAGGCTCAAACTCTTTCTCACAAAGATTCTCAGGCGATGAGGGACGAAAATGAGGCTCTAGGAGCGAATAAGGTTGGGTCCAAAGGCTTAGAGGTGTTTAAATAGGGGGCAAGACCGCACATTAGGGTTTTGGTCCTCTGTTGTGTACGCCCCGTGTACGTACAGTTCCTTTGTGATCCTTCCATCTTAGTACGCTAAGTGTACCCTTAGGTATGCCCAACATACCCAAAGGGAACCATTAGCTAATTAGTTTCGTTTTGAGGGTTTAAAATTAATACCTGACTAGGAGTGTTACACGTATGGTTGGGTTTTGGACCCTTTGAGTAGTCCCAGTGGATAAAGTTGAAAACTTTATCCTTCTTAATAACATTTTGGTTTAGATATGAGCTTTGGAGCTCTTGGAATCGAAGAAAACAGCTGAATGTATCAGGCTAACATGATGTGTTTGGAAGTCAACACGATGTGTTGGGTGAGGTTTTCTTGACCATCTGAATGTTGGAAGAACACAACGTGTTTACTAGTAAACACGGTGTGTTGGGTCAACATGGACTGTTGATCTTGACCTTTGACTTTGACTTTAACCAAGTTTGACTTTAAGGGTATTTTGGAATTATTATGGAAATTGGTCATTTGATGGAATTAGGTATCGTGTAGAGAGCTGAGATTCGGAGTCGGGGCTCATTAGTTATATTCAGTTTGCAAGGTGAGTTTTTCTCACTGTACTTACGGGTCGAACGTTTCCTATTCATTCCACAAATATTCAAAAACAATAATTGGAAATGGATAAGAATTCTAATTCCTTTCCAATTTTCTTAGTTTTAAGAATCTCATCAATGTTTTCTTCATATTATTCACATGATAAATCAAGTTGAAATTATCATAAGAACTAATGAAAGATCCAAGTGCAAGATGTATAACAAGATTCTTGTCAAAGGTAACATTAAGACTCTCGATTTTAGCTCTTATTTATTACATACAAAGCTCTTTTCTTCAATTCGAATGCAATTAGGAACTTTTAATGATTTTCAAATCACTCTTGCATTGACTTTTTGTGAAACATTTCACTCAATTGCAAATTCATTTCATATGTTCACAAAATCATTTTGAAACATCGAAGACATAAACATAATGATGCAAGAGAACCATATTTGACAAGTCTACATGTTTGTGATATTAACAACTTAATTAAAGTAGACACATTATTGATTTAAGGGATATTCTCATTATGAACATCTTTGCCAATATCAAAATTATGGAAGATCCCATAACAAATGAGCCATTCTCGATAGAGAATAGAGAGAATATATAATTAGAAAGTGAGTAAGGAGGTGGGAAAGGATTCCATCTAACCTAAAAGAGAATGTTTAATTAAGTCGATTTTATCCTTAATTATTAATCCAATTTTAAATTAAGACTAGGATCCATAAATACGATTCGTAACATGAAAAAGGATACCGTAATCACATCACAAATTTATTTTCGGTAGGTAAAGCATTTCACAAATTTCAATCAAAATGAAACCCCTGAAACAATCAATGATATGTTAATCTCGGATTATGCTCGTCGATTTGTGACTGAGGTGTTGATGATTACAAATAAGATGTGAATAACCATGCAAACCCGCATGACAACCTCAAAGTCTTTTATCATCTCAAATTTAATGTGTCGGTAAACCACACATACTCCATTAATTAATGATAATTTTCGAGTTGTGCCATCATAACAACTTTATAGTTCCAGATTAGTGTACCGGTTAACCACACACGCTCCATTAACGACTCATAAAGATTGATGCACGTTTTCATAGATTAGTATACAATTTCACATTTTTTTTATTTAAATTCGAAAGGATTGCAAGAACAACATACCAACAAATAATACATATATTATACCTATCTTCTCTACGTTGGTTGACTTATATACTTTAGTTTTGAAGGTGTTAAAAATAAGAGAATTAAATAACAATAACAATACATATAATAATTGAGAAGAAACTATAACTGGTTGAACCATAAACCCTGAAGAAGTGTCAATGAAGATGATATTATGCCAAAAGAAGCTGGTAAGGACAAAAAGCACACAGCAAGAACATGAAGAAGAAATGGCAAATTATTCAGCTTTTACTTTTTCTTTTATACTGTTTTCCTCTTTGTTTCTCCCCAATATTCTCTCTTTGATCTTCGTGTGTGTGTGTGTGAGCCAGGCCAAGATTGGAGAATTTCTGCCGGAGACGTGACATCTTCATCTTGGATCAAGAAAGTTTCGGTAAATTTTCTTTACCTGATTTCATCGACATTTTATACAGTGGGATCCAGATGCAACCACCTGTTTTTGTTTCCTCTTTTCTACTCGAAGTATTTGTAGAAGAGAAAGGGTTTTATGGTTTGAACTTTGAAGTTCTTCCTTTCAGTGTTTTCAGTTTAATATTTGTTCAGAGTAAATTACAGCTTTTCTCCCTTGGCATGTAAAATTATGATTTCCATCCACATTTTCTCTTTTGCGGACAATTGTTACCCAGAGTGTAACTTCTTTGCATCTTTGGTCCCCAGTTGGACTGCGCTAAAAACCCTCCGTTAAATCTTCGAAAAATGACCAACTTCCCACATCAAACCTTAAAAAAAACGATCTCCTAAGTCCTAACCAAAAAAAATCAGAAAAATATAAAATTAAATGATACTGAATAGCAAACTAAAAGTTTTTAGTTTTATGATGGGTCTGATTTGGATCTTGTTTAGATTTAATTTTTCGGGTTTTAATTTGATTTTTGATAATTGAGTTTAGGAGTTTCCATAAAAGAATACGAATTAAGAGGATGAAGTGACAAAAATGGCTGGATTTTTAATTTTGTAATCATCATGTGATAGAGATCATCAGAATATAATCAAATGATAACGCATGCATGATATTTGATAAAAGTGTGAATGGTTCATTGTTGCCATATACTTACTATATCCGTTAATTAATAATTAATTAATGTGCCAATGTGGTATTAATTTAATTCTGATAATACAGGCAGCAGGCAGGAGATGGAGATGATATCGTATCTTATCAACTTAATTTCCCCATGTTTATTACTGATGGATGGAATTTTGGTGAACATAATTATAACGTTTATCGAGCTACCTGAAACTGAAGCTGAGGAATTGTGGGGGCGACTACTAAAGTATCTAATCTACAAGGTACGTAATTAACCAGCCACTCACTCACTGGTGTCTTGTGAATACTTAAGTAGCTTAAGTATTCTCATCATGCACTGCATATCTGCATTGTGAGTGGTGATTATAGTCTCTACATATATACAGGGAGGATTTCTTCTGTTTGTAGTCCCACTAACACTAAATCAAGCAGAACTCTGGTCAAAATGGTTGGTCTTACTATGCACCAGCAAGGTATTATTATCATTTACGAGTTACTTATCTATGCTGGTTTTTTTAATTGGAACATATATATATTTATATCTGTGGGACCGGGTCCGGTGACAATTAACAAATGGAAAATTTAATTATGATGGATATTATTTTTGAATATATTTCTATTTCTACTATACAGACGCTGCAAGCCATAACAAGGGGTCGCCTTGAACGGCTGAATGCGTCGCGTTCTGAAATTGACTGGACTGATTACTCTAGAATACGTTGTGTTTTTCTTATATATTCTATTTTCTTCATGTATCTCACTCTCCTTGCACTCGGGTACGTACGTATATAATAATGCTTCGAAATTCTTTATTTCATGGATTAATTTATAGATATTATAATTTCTGTCTACTAGATTCTTTCTTTACAGTACTTGTAGGATATATTCAATCAGTCACATAACAATACTCCCATCGCCTCTGTTTTGGCTGTTATTCTTTGAGCCTCTAAGTATCGCTTTCGAAACACTACAGGTACGTACAATGTACTACACCAACCTGTGTACGTATTTTAATTCCATCCGCATTAATTAATTTATGAAACTTTGTTTTCTTTTATATCTTATTTGACTTTCATAACATGGCTGGAGGTTGACCCATGACTTTTTTTTTTTAATCTAATATACGTTGCTTAATTTAGGCCATTTTGTTTCATGGATTTCAACTGATTGATATATGGCTTCATCACTCACCACGCAACACCACAAATTCCAAAATATTAAAGGTTTTGGATATGGCAGCAGGCAAGACTCGATCTATGATTTATTATATTCGATCTATTTTTTTTTTTCCAGCATCTTGTTTTGCTTGTTTTAATTATTCTAGACATGCATATATCTATCTATATGACTCTTATATATGGGCAGGTTTACTATGGGAACGGAAGCGTATTATATTACGGGATGTGGGATTTTTCCTAGACATTATGAGTTTGGTCATGTCTCTCGGTCATTATATGCATATATGGTTTCTAGTTTTTGATGACATGACATTTCCTCTTGTTGATTCACTGCTTACGCTACCTATACAAGTAAGTTGTTAATTGTTTTTATATGTTCTAATTCTATTGTCTTCTGTCCAACAATTTATCTTGAGTGATTATCCTCTCCCTTTTCAGCACCCCTCCCTCCCAAAGTAAAAAATATAAAGCAAGCTGCATGCTTTTGCTTAAATTAAGGAATGTATGTCGTATATATATGCAGGACGTGTTAAGAGCACTTCTGATGCGTATACGGGAGTTTATTGTCTAGCTAAATTAGAATGGTGCGCTGAAGGAACCTTTGATGCAATATGAAGTGATTATTTATGCATGATTGGATTAGATTTTCGAAATAGAATGATATGTATAGGACCCTTATAATATATTATATTTTGTAGCTAGGTCATGTTTGAACATGAAAACTTCAAGAATTTATGCCCACAAGCAAATAGTTGCATTTCCGTCACTTTTTACAGAAATAGATTCTAAGACTTCGGTATGTACAAATTATAAGCAACACAACAAACAACCATCTAGCTTTACCCACAAAAACAAAACAATCATTACCTTAAAAGTTATGTCTAAAACTAGTGTTATAAAATATAAACCGATCGAATACCCTGTTGCTTCAACAAATCAATGACAAGAGTACGTTGATGCCTTAGTTACTTTCTCCAAGTGCCTACAGATATTGTTCTGGAATCTTGAAACGGACCACCAACAAATGTATGATGAGAAAGGTATCCATCAAAAATGTTACGTTGGAAAAAGCATATTATTTCAAATTGATTATAGACATTAGAAAGATTAAGGGGCTGTTTGGTAGCATCTGGAAGATTCATATCTGAATGATATAGATGTCTGGATAATACAGAGGCTCTTTATGAACCTGTATCTTAACGATAAACTAATGTTTGGTTAGGTATCTGAACGACTGCCTCTTATCAAGAAAAATGACCATTTTAACCCTATAAACTATTTTTTGCATACAAAATAAACTCCATACAACATTCAAATTATATATCATACAACATCCAAATATGTCATATATAGATCCTTAGATCATAGTATAATAGATTTTATAAAAATATCTTGCAATAAATCGGTTGAAACAAATTTGATTGTCGGGTTTCGATTGAAACAAGTTGATTGCGATTCTAAGATAACTCATCACGATCTTTGTTGCTATTGTTTACTTCCAGTGGCATTGCTCCCTACAAAAGTTGAGAATCAAAAGTAATAAAAAAAAGTGTTGTTAGAAGAAAAGTGAACATATATTTTCAGATTGTGAACCAAACACAAGTAAGAAACCAAACCTAAATATTACAAGTATACAAATCACATATGAATCCAGTTGATTCAACAAGTAAAAGACAATAAACTCATTAAATAGGAAATGGTTCACAATTTGATAATGGGTAAAAGTCATCCATAATTAACTTCAATCTTCAAATCTTTAACATACATTTGACAATAAACTCTTAAATTTGAAGGAGAGATATGGATCCAAGCATCGATCCACGTATACCTATTAACTTATTCGATCAGTTCATTGTTATTTGATGAACATCAAACCAATTTCATACAATATTGAGCAACATAAAAAATGATTTCACAATAATGGATTTCACAAAAATTGATCAACCAAACACAAGAAAAAATCAATTTCAAAAAATTGATCAGCCAAACACAAGAACATGTTTTAGGGATTGAGAAAATCGATTTCACAAAAATGATCATCTAAACACAAGAACACAGAAAAATCGACCAGAAGGATGCCTAAAAAAACGACCATAACAAGACAGATTAGAAAACTTACCAGTGAAGTGGGAGGCGGCGGAGGTGGAGCGGGCTGTCAGGGGTCCGATGGCAAGGTTAGAATCGGCTGGAAAAGAGAATGTTGCACGATGGGAGAACAAGGGGAAGAAAAAAAGAGAGGCGGACGTTTTTTAGGGCTATTATTTGGAAATTTTTTCATCTAGACTTCTCAACAACTCTGACCGATCAAGACCCATTTCTTTTATATCTGACCGATTAAGAGGTTAAAAAAAACTCCAACCAAACGCTCTGAATCTGAACGATTCAAAGCTAACCTCTTTATGGGATCATTAAGAGGCCAAACAAACAACCCCTAAGTCACTTGCAGTGGAAATTGCTAAGTGATGGCCAAGTATAAGTGATCTACAGGGATAATTAGGTTTGTGAACCTGTTGTAGTAGGAATTTCGAGCTCGCAGGAGTTGAGTAGCCAGTAGAGAGATAAGCAGGTTGGTTTCATCGATAATGATTCAGTATGAGAGGTCTGTCGGGGAATCAGATCATCTCGAGACAACAGATATCAGACAGAGTAAATGTAGACTGTTGTGAGGAATCTGTTCACCAGTGGAATTTAAGGCTTTGCAAGGATTAGGTCATGGCTACCATGAGAAGACTATGGTGTGCCCAGGATGGCAACCATCTCACTATAGTGGTTGGGGGTATAAGGAATGGTAAGAAATGATTTTGAGGACGAAATGAAATTTTAGTAGGGGAGAGTTGTAACGCCTTGTTTATTTAAATAAATTAATAAATGTAAGTCCCGGACTAAATTGTGAAGAATTTTAGAAGTTGGGGGTTAAAAGTGTTAGTTCCGGACTCATTTTATAATTTTTTATGAAGGCAGAGACTAAATGGTAATTAATGGGACTTCTTTTGAAGAGATTTTAGAGGCTCATGGGAAAAAGAGTAAATATTTGATCAAAGTTAAAAAGATTTAACGAAGGAGGGGCTGAACTCGTAAAAATGGGCAGAAGTTTGGAGGGAGTCGGGTGTGCCTCATGCAGTCGCCCCACTCTTCCTTCCCACTCCGGCGCCACCATCCACCTCGTTCGTTTCTGACCGCCTAGCACCACCGGACTTCTACCGTGTGTTCTATTGGAGAAAGAAAGAGAGAGTTCAATGAGTCAAGGTTTTGGCGATGGGGCTGTGAGGAGTTAAACGAGTGAAGCTGCTGCCGCCGCTGCCAGCCGATTTGTTTATGTGATTATGTTATATGTTACGATCATGTTTATGCTATGTTCAGTTTATTCCGGACTTCGGTCCGATGCAGCGGGCAAGGCCCTAGTTATTCCGGACTTCGGTCTGATGCAGGGGGAGAGGCCCTAATTAGTCCGGACTTCGGTCTGATGCAATAGGCGAGGCCCTAGTTAGTCCGGACTTCGGTCCGATGCAGCGGGCAAGGCCCTAGTTATTCCGGACTTTGATCCGATGCAGTGGGCGAGGCCCTAGTTAGTCCGGACTTCGGTTCGATGCAGTGGGCAAGGCCCAGTATTTGCTTTATATATTATTGTATGGTATGTGGTAGTTTGGGGGAGCTCACTAAGCTTAATGCTTACATATTCGGTTTTGGTTTCAAGTACTGAGTTTTCAAAAGAGGAGCTCGGGAAGGTTGTAGTGCACACATCATCTGTTCAGCCTGAGATATTTATACTATGATATTTTGACAATTGTTATGATATTTTGAGATACACTGTTTATGATTTTTATATGATGTTCGATGACTATGGTTTTATTATTAAATTAAAACGAAATTTTTAGACTGTATTTTTGGGATGTTACAAGAGGTTTCCGTCTTATAGGCGTCCGGGAATTCACTCTATATAAGAACAACAAAAACTAAGTCAGACAACCATACTGAGGGTTGGACCCCGACATAGCTCTCCGATGCCTAAGTTAGAATGCGATATTTTGGTATTGCTTTTTTGTCAAGGAGTATGTGTTTTTCCTTACCTTGTTAGCATGTCTCCTGGGGGTATTTATAGGTTATCTGTGGTTAGTAAGCCCACTCTTTAGACCTGTCCTCCACTCAGTCTGTGAGCAGTCGCTCTTCGTGTCCTTTCCTTGCTTACTTTATTTGATGTGTATTGTTTGGCATATTTTTAAGGATACGATTCTGATGCTTGCGTACGATATATTCGGATACATATTTTCCTGAAATAGGTGGAAATGCTTGTAAAGTCGACCTGGTAAGTACTGATCCGATAGTGGGTTTCCCCGGACTACCGGCCTGGTACACCATTAATCCCCCCATTCTGAAGGGAGAAAGAATATTGTCGAAATATTTTTGTCATTCAGAATTTTAAATCCATATTGGGGATTGTAAACTCCTTTGCATGTTGCACATTAAATGCTTGCGTCGTCGCACATCATCTTGCTTGCTTTGATTAGATTGTATGTATTAAATGCTTTAATCAGTCTTGCTGATTATTTATCAAGTAATCCTGATTATTCTTGTAGAAACTTCCTTACAAGCTTTCCTTTTGAATTTGCCTTTACTGTGATTGGTATGGGTGATGACATGTCTATAATGGCGTTTGAAGTGGACTGTTGCATGCTGGAGGGGTATTGTGATGAATATCATCTTTCTCTTATGCTTGGATTCCAGGTTCCGTCTTCGTCTTCTTCTATTCTTGATGCCCCGCCCTGTAAGGTTGGATTTTATCTTCGACATCTTGTGTGTGGATTGTGGTTACCCCCGTCTCGCATTATCTTAAAGGTTCTCTATTTTTACAAACTTCATCTTGTCCAACTATGTCCGAATGCGGCGTCCAATATTGTTACTTTCGAAGTGTTTTATGTTTCTCATAAGATACCACTTCATGTCTCCTTGTTTCGTTATTTTTATCGCTTGAAGAAGTATGGTGACTGGTTTTCTTTTAGTAGTTGTCACTTTCCTCTGTCTCCATATTTGGGTTGTTCGAATGGGAACTAGAAAAGTAGGTTCTATTGGGTTAACATACATAGCTTGTGTGTGCAATTTTCCCCATGTTATGTTTCACTTGGTGATGACACTTCTTGGATTTATTCCTTTAAGTTCGCATTTCTATGTAAAGAGGGAATTTATGCTAGAAGTTGTACTTGATCTGTGTCAAATGAGCCCGTTCTGGAAAGTCCGCTATCAACTACAAGTGTTATATGCATGTCATGCAGGTTTTTCTAGCCTTTTACTAGATTTAGCATTCGATCCTTTGTCTTTTCTTTCCCTGGTTGTGGGTAATCTCCTGATATAAATGCTACCTTTGGGTATTTTCTCTATGCTAATTTATTATTGTTGATTGGAGTAAATTCTCTTTCCAACGAACGACTTATTTGGCTGGTGACAATCCACCCGCGTCCATTATGGTGGATGACATGGTTCCTAACCAAAATGTGGACCAGATGACTGTGACACCCGAGTCCCTTCTTGCCCTCCCGGGTTTTGGGCAAAATACTTATTCTATCGAGCAGCTGTTGGATACATCTTGCCATGTGATTGGTTTTGCATAGGTCGGCTCATCTAGCTTCGCAGGAGTTGTGTCCCCTGTAGGTTCTTCCTCTAGTCGAAAACGTAGGCGGGTTCTTTCGTTTAATCAATTTGAGCACTTCCTCCATGAGATTTTCCCATGTAGGCCCTCGATGCATCTCTCCCTTGTCCATTTGTAATGTGGCCCCCAAACCAATTGGTCTGTAAATTGATTGGTATGAGTCACATATTATGCGTTGTTTGTGATTACTTTCCTCTGTTAACACCGTTTTCCCAACGGCGTACGTGGGTATCCTTCTTCTGTGTTGTTTGAGGAAGAGTTGAATAAAGCATGTCATTTTATAGCTCGTGCAGAAAAAATTATCTCCACCGTACTCGGGTGTGATTTCCAATTTTTTGGTTGCGGAGGTGAATGTACGTGTTTCCGAAGTCATGAAGCTTGCAAGCGATGAGATGTTAGTGAAATTTGGGGATATGTATGCTAACTTATCAATTAGTTACCGGGATGTCACGACTAAGGTAACATCTTTAGAAAATCAAGCGACGCTCGTCCAGGCGAGGTATGAAGCTTGTATCCAGGAGCACAGCGTGTTACATTCCCAACTTGTTAACAATTATTGATAGTGTGGGTTGTGCGATTTGGTTATGCTCTTGTTTTTATGGGCAAGCGTAAACTTGGTGTTATGCTTGTGTGTCTAACCGACTCTTATTTTTGCGGGCAAGCAACCTACTTCCTATTTCTTTCTATTATTGCATTGTACTTACACGTTGTTTCATTAGTGCATTGTATAAAAGAAGGTACAATTGGTGCATAAAATATTTTATAATAAGAAAATCAAAGAATGGTGATTGGATCTTATTGCACAAACATGAAATAATTATTAAATAGTAAAAACCAATAGGAAATGAGAGTTCATGATACTAAATCACCCATTCAAATGAATAGTATAAAGTACATTGTGACCCAAGAAAACTCTAAGTATCAAATAACCAAATTTGTTATTTTATTATAGGAACGCAAACTCTCAAATAACCAATTTCATTGATTTATATAAATCAAATAATCAAAAAAAAAATATATTCAGCTAGTTCTCTTATTCTTTATCACCCCTAAAATAACTTCAAAAAAAATAGCTTCAATGTTTCTCTTGTAAAGTCTCCTCTACCTATACCATAAAGAAAAATAAAATGTGAGCATTAGACTACAAAAATCATGAAGCTTAAAAAAATTACCTTTTTGCTTGGACAACCAGTTGCATAATGACCCAGACCCTGGCAGTGAGAACAAGTTCTTTTTTTCTTTGCCAGCTCCAAAGAAGACTTAATCATGTTTGCATTTTTAGGACGCTCTTTCATATTACTAAGAGCAACATGATCTTGAATAGATATATGAGGCATAATGTCTAACTGGGAAATTCCTACACAAGAATACTGATATGTGTTTTGAGGTCCATATGACTTTTTCTGAATAATTTCATCTTCTAAAAACTTTACCACTAAATTGTTGAATTATTTTATCTTTGAAGGGGAATCTTTTGCATGTTTGATTGCTTTATGACAGTTTTCACGGACATACCATAGGGTTAATGCACTAGCTTCCTTTTCGGTATTGATCTCATGCATTCTGACACTATGACTACCCACCCTAAACCTTGCATCAATTGTCTACACATAGGTAAAATATAATGGCCAGGAAGAGTTTGAAAATCTCTTTTCTTGATCATGTATAGACTATGTTTGCATAATATGCCATATGTTTCAAACTTAGTACACGAACATCTAACATTCACTTGATTCGTGAAACGATAACTAACAAATCTCCAATGCACTTTATCAATATCCACTTGGCCAACTATATATTTGATTTCTTATGTAGATTTGCTTAAAGTCTCATGAGTTAAATTTTGTGTAGCTTCTACCCATTCTTTTTTTTTTTAATCTCAAAAATCTTTTTGGTATAACATTCACCTGCTTTTGCTTCTATTGGATGAACAGAAGATAGAATTGGCTTCGAGTTCACGGTCTTAAAGTCTTCATCTTCTTCAACGGCTCTTCGAGATTTAATTGTTGTATCATATTAAACTACAAATTCATTCAACATTGTATTGGAATTTACAAATCCATCAAAAAATGAATGAATGCTCTCGCTTCATCCATTGGTTGTCATGCCAGCAAAAAATACATCATTTAAGTAGGCTTTAACCTAATGTTTTCATTGGTTATGATCCAACAAAAATTTTCAAGGTTATATTTACCATGCATAACTTCCCACTTTGTTTCAAATTCTTTAACTTTATCACTTTTTACCCACCGTTTATAAGATTCCTAAAAATCACTATAATGGGGTACAAGCGGTCGGAGATGTTCAAACTCATACTTCTTAATATTCCATGCACAGTAGCAATGAGTGTTTCGAAACACTTTTATTATTGCATTACCTATAGCTTTATCTTGACCGGTTATCATTGCAGATGGGTGCTTGTTGAACATGCACTTTAAAAAATGCTCAAATAACCACCAAAAAGTTTCTTCCTTTTCATTTTCTAGCAATGCACCACCAAACAGTATGGTTTGACCATGATGGTTCACCCCAACAAGTGGAGAAAATGGCATCTTATAATTGTTTTTCATGTATGTAACATCAAAGACAGCAACATCTCTGAATTTAGTATAGGCATCCCTTGATCTTCCATCGGCCCAAAAAATATTTCGAGAAGGCCCGTCCTCAAATAAATTCACAACAAAATACTAGTTAACATCTACTAATGCTTTTATCTTGGAAATGTTTGATAAACCCATAAAAATCTTTACTTTTGTATTGTCTTCATTGCTTAGATAATATATCCACGCATTACTTCGAAGTAATATCAAGATCCTGTGGAGTTTTCATTGCATTAACAACCTTTTTTATTTGAGAAAGCTTTAATCCTGATTGACCAAGTTCCACCATAAGAGATTTACATGTCAATGAACGATGGAGCTTCTCATAAGAAAGATGCTTCATTACTTTTGTAGGTGTAACACTTAACTTATGATTATGGGTATCATTAAACATGTCAACAAACCATATCCCATCTTTTCCTTTTGAAATTCGAAGCATTGTTTGGCATCCGGTCCTTAAATTTCTACTTTGTGTCTTTATAACCCCAGAACTATTGGACTTCAATCTTTTAAAGCCTTGTTTATTACAAATGTACATTTTACAGTATGGCTCATTTCTCGTCTTGTTTTTAAAGGCCCAATGAATTTTTATACCAAATCCATGTAAAAAAGCATATTGATTATGAGGTGTATTGAAAACCTTTCCGATGATACTTTCTTCTCCATCATGATCCAGATTTACATGGACATCATTTATTTTCTAGCATTCTAAAGTTGATATGTGTTTATATTGAATGATCTATAGTACGTATAAACACAAGAATTTAGATTTTTAAATATTTTTTTATAGCTAGAAAATATAAAATCATAAAGCTGCCAAACAGAGTAATTTATTGGGCTTTGAGCATAATAAACAATCATGGCTAATGTTATTATACTACTAGCCACATCGCACAAGTACACATGATTTATCTTTTGTGTTCTTTTATTATACACCGAACAAATTAATTACTATCTAGACCAATTTTAATTTACATCACACTAGGAATGTGTTAATTTTAATTTAAATAAGATAAACAGTACACAACTTGATTATTACTGGGAAATATCTGATTACTACATGGAATTTAACACGGGATGCGAATTGAAGAAGACAATCATTGCAAGAAAATTAAAGAGTAAAATTAACTTGGATCAATCTTAAATACCTAATAGCCATATAGGGTTAGTGATGAATATGATTAGTCAATAAAGAATGATCGTGAATACGCAGATTGAAAGAAGGAAAGAAAACATATGCTAGGAAATCGTAAAATCATTTTAAGGATTTGAATGTTCACCTACAAAACAACGTCGAGTTTTATATTCTATACCTAAGCTTACATACCTACACTACAAATAAAATCACATACAGTGGCACATATTTTTAGTGGTATAAGGTTAATGTGTCACTATATCATGGTTTTTAGTGGCACTTATTATATAACACTAAAAAATTAATACATTTAATGGCACATAATCTTTTGTGTCACTGAATTCCATAGTTATTAGTGGCATAATGACTTGAAATACCACTAAAACTTTTTTTTTTCAATTAAAAATACCGTATATATGATTCTTATAATAACAACGCACACCAGGTTTATGACGGACATAAAACTCTACAATACAAATTATGCAATATTTCATAAAATATAAATGATTTACGATGGACAAAATCCACTGTAAATTAATGTCGCATTTTAAGTTTGAAACTAAAAAAAACATGAGTATTTTAATTAACTAAATTTATTTTCAATGCTCGTACTTAAATCCGTTTGTATTATATCGATGCATTGTTCGTTCAAAATCAACAACACAACGAAAACAAAAGCGAAAGAGCAAACGTCGATTAGGGTTGCTCCATCGGTGTTGTGTTGTAGAAATCGACTTGCCACTTCCGCCACTGGTAATACGTACCATTGCCAAAGTTCAATTCTCGAGTTTGATAAAATCATGCTCCAAGGCATTCACTCTGTATTTCTATTTTTGATTTCGAGTTTCCGTGGGAGCATGTGGAAGCAGAAAACGTAGAAGCCATCATCATGAGGATCGAACACAATTATCACTAGATTGAGAGTTTACTCAAACAGTAAGTACACTAAAGCCCTAATTTTCAAGACAAATTTCCACTTTCCCCAATTTATCAAAGCACTAATAGTCGAATGATTGTGTTTGATTGGGTACAAGCCGGTAGAAGCCCTCAAAACTGCTCTGGAAGGATCTCCCCTAGGACGAGAGATGAACGATACAAGGTTTGTTCTACCGAAAATCCAAAATAGAAAATTGAAATTCGTATTCTGTAATCACTCATTAGCCGATTATCGCCGATTTGAGTGCTAGATTGTTTTATTTAGTCTACAAATTAGATTATGGTGCATAGAGCGTTAATGGCGACAAAATACGTGGATTTGATGCTCCTCTTTGGATGACGAGTACTATAATATTCTCATGGAGTTAGTCCCTGGTTTCTTCATCTCCTTCATTATCTGTTTTTCATTTCATGCAATTTGAATCTGAATTTCAGCTTGTGTTTGTATTTGTATAATTCAACAGGTACTTGTATAGAGTATTGTCAACCGCCATGTGACCATAAATATCTATTCCTTGAAGTTGCAGAGGTTGATGATTTAGATTCCAAGTGTTTAGTTTGTTTAATTTCTATTTTTCCTTTTCTTTTGGTTTTTATGTTCAACTTTTCTCTTATGCAGGATGGCACAAGAATTTATGAACGTATAGCTCTTGACTCTTGAGATATTAAAATATATTAGAAAACATATATGTATTCAAACAACCCCATATAAAAGCATACATCGACACCTTAGAAAAGATGAAATATAAATTAAGAGGTTATCTAATGGATGTTTTGTACAATCATGCAGGTAAGTGCTCCATTAAAAGAGATCTGCAAAAAAGTTTGGCTTATGGATTCAAAGGTAATAAAATGGAAAGATTACATCATTCTATCATAGCATTTTCCTTGCATAAACAGAGTCCTTTTTATTTTATTTACATAATTTTGTAAGGCTTGATAGTTAAATGCTACCCGGATTCACTTCTGTATTTTAAGAAGTTGTGGGCCCATGATCATGAACTTATTAATTATTCCTTATATGTCATCGAGGTGTGAATTCATTTGTTTATTTTTTCAATTACATTTAGTTAATATATCAAATATGAAATATACACAAATACATTACATATTGGGCCTATTATATGACTTTTTTCTTTTTGACTTGATACGTTGAAGGGATTTGAGTTTGAACAAATTAATATGAGCTCCCTTTTTTGTTCATTATATAGGAAAATAAAGAGACAACAAACTTGAAGAAAATAAGTGAATTTGTTGAAATCAAACCTTGAGTCAGGTAACTTTCATAACCCAGTTTTTTTATTTTCCAATATTTCCCCGTTTGCATTGTTGGATTGTCCAAATTTAAGCTTCATCTTGTTAGCATGCGTGGTCCTTGAAACACTTGCAATGGATAAGTCGGATGATCTGGATCGTAGTATACTTTTGGTGGGTTTTTAATATTAATTGTATGTGATTCAAGTCTTATAATAGATCAAATTTGTGTTGAGTGTTATATTATTTATTTTCTAAACTAAGTATTATTTCACTGGATTCTGGATTATTTTTGTTTGTTTTTGAACAGGGAATTGCTAGCATTGATTCTAGAGTATGAGATAACACAATTTATTCAACCTATCATGTCTTTGTACTTAAACATATTTGATATTTACCTAGATATTCGATTAAAAAAGTTAAAGAAATATTGATGAAAAACAATGAAATTTTGCTTATTTTCAATGTGTTACAGTTTAATTATTCATTTTATTTTATATTATAGATGAAATTGTATTGTGGCAAATAAAAATGTCACTAAAATCTTAAAATATGTAACTAAAAGTAGTATATATCTTTTTAAATCACATAAACTTTTAATGGCACAAAATATATGCCACAAAAAGTAACATAAACTATTAAATCAAATCAGATTTAGTGGTACAAAATATGTGCCGTAAAAGAAATTTGTTTTACTGTGACAAATAAAAAAGTGTCACTGAAAGCCTATAAAGTGCAGCAACAAAAGCAAAAAGTGTCACTAAAAGCTTTTAGTGGGAGCGTTTCTAGTGGCATTTATTAAGTGTGCCGCTGAATCTTTGAGAACCCATTAGTGACATTTTTTTGGGCTTTTAGTGGCATTTTTTGTGTGCCACTAAATGATATATTTTTTGTAGTGCTAATAGCCATATATTCTCTTTTTTCCATATATATATATATATATATATATATATATATATATATATATATATATATATATATATATATATATATATATATATATATATATATATATATATATATATATAATAGATACTATAAAAGGTTGAAGGATAATCCCATAAGCAACCCCATAAATTGGAAACCATGCCAAAACAAGTTTGCAATGATCAGTAGCGGACGCAAAAAGTTATCATAGCAGTGGCACAATTTTTTTCATCTGAATATAATAACATAAAAAAGTACTAGTATATCAAACCGATCCATTACATCTTAATATTTAAGTTTGACATCTACGGGTACACATTTTTTGAAACCGAACCACTACATCTTTGATCTTCACTTTCATAAGTGCTTCTTTTTCAACATAAGAAATCATGGCATCGTTCAAAAAACATCACCTATTTTGTTATGCAAATCCGTCTTCTAAAACTTCATCGCTGAAAAACGTCTTTCGACTGTTGCGGTTGCAACGGGTAAAATCAAAACCAACTTCAACTACCTATAAACCATAGGATAAGACCGATGTTTCTCCGTTTCCACCATCAAACGAGAAAGGTTGGAAATTCCTTGCAAACTAGTGAACCGGTCATCATTATGTAAAGCGTGATAATATATGGTAAGTTGTAATTTTTGGTCTAACACCCGAGTCTTTTTGAAGATCTTTCAATTCAACATTTGTAATTGGAGTAGTTGTAGGTTGTGGATTTACATTAGAAACCAAAGGGAATGATTGATTAGAAGGACATGATCTTTTAGAGGATTCTTTAAAACTTAAATCATTTGAGCATGGTTTTTTTTAGGATTCTCCAACACTTGATTTATTGATATCTGTTCTTCCAAAAAAATTGACCCAATTTTATCCTAACAATTCAATATCAAACAAATAAGCCATCCAAGTAATTTCAAGGTTAACAACTACTAATTTCTAAATAAACAAGTGATTTCAAGATTAACAACTACTAATTTCACCTGAACATTAAGAAATTTCAATAAAAAAGCAACTAATTTGACTAATTTCATAAACCTAAAATTATCAATACTACTTGTTTCATTATGTTTGTAGGATTGAAAGGAGTGCCAAGCCAAATCAAACCTAGCAAAATCGAAATACTTATGCCTTGCTAACTTGGTTGAATGGTTGTAATCGATTGAAAGGAAGCAACCGATTTTTTTTTCGCATCGACAGCCTTCACAGAAGAATAAGTGCCGATTTTTTTTCTTTTCAGTAGTTGATCGTGTCCAGCACTCCAGCTTCTTTTCTTTGACTATCAAATGTTGATGGACCTAATAGAAATTTGGGATATTGGGCTAATTCTAAATTAGGTTAAAAATTTAACAAGCAACTTGGGCCACAAACTCATAATGCATTTGGGTTGTTAGACTAATTTTCTTTATTTTATTAGATTAGATTTTTTACACTTTTTATTTTTTGGACCTCGAATTTTCGGAAATATAGTGTCACCTGAATGAATTTGAAGCTGATGCACCTGATAGAATTTTTTTTGTTTATCCTAAGGGACCGAAGCGGAGTAGTGGCCCGGGACCCCCCGGGCACCACACACATCCGCCGCTGGCAATGATGATGGCAAAGAAAAGGACACAGCAATTGCCCAAATTTCTCTTTCTGATCGATCCTCGTATGTGTGAAGATCGGAGAAATATTCCCGCCCAAGGGTTCACATCGAACATAGTATATCTATATAGGTAGACGCAATCTACTTATTAGTATACGCCTTTCCTCATCTCTACTCGTGGGTTTTGTTTAATTTTATGATCATAGTAAGAGTAAATTGCAACTTTCCACCTCTCTTCTAGCATGTAAAGTTATCATTTCTACCCGGATATTTCTTTTATTTCGCAGATACTTCTCAAAGCGTAATTTGTTATACATATTTGGTCCTTAGCTCCGTTAAATCGATCTACTAAAACATCTCAAAGGTTCAAGCGTGATCTAAAATGTGTAGTTTTTATATTATAATTAAAGCCACTTTAAGACAAAATCACAACACCTAACCAACACCATGCTTATATCCGTATTTTGTAAGACCAGTTTAAAGTACTACCACAAGAAAACCACAATGGTCCATATTTGATCAAAATCACCGATTTAAACTAATAACTAAAGAGTAGACGTCTGGAAGTTCAAATTGAGGTCTCCAATCGGTGACGAATAAAATCAAGATGATTCATCCAACAGTAAAAAATTAAAATGAATGAAAATGCTAGAATCCTCGAATTATTTTTTGGCTATGACATCCATCCCATCAAACAATAAACCTGTCTTGTCTGCTGTCATGGACATTTCTTTTTACTGACTTATATTCTTTAGTTTATTACAAAAATATATAAATCAAATAACAATATATATATATATATATATATATATATATATATATATATATATATATATATATATATATATATATATATATATAATAATGCATATAATAATATATAAGGCAATACAAATAATATATAAATCTAATAACAGTATATACAATAATGCAAATAATAATATATAAGGCAATACAAATAATATATAAATCAAATAACAATATATATAATAATGGGTAAATGACATAAAAGCTTTAAGTTTTGTAGAAATGTATGGATTTTTTTTTTTCGTATTTTGGGTTTATTAAAACCGGAGGTTTGCAACTTTTTTTCTTTTAATTTTATCTTTTTGCATATGTATGGTTTATTAAAGCCCTTGCGTTTCACATAAACATTCTTTTTTAATTTTTTTTTTCCCTGATTCCCTTATGTTTGCCTGAAATTTTTAGTTTTATCAAATAAACCTGCAAAAAGAGTACAAAAAAAAAATGCAATTGCAAAGCCTCTTGCTTTAACCATTGAGAGTAGAATACTTGAGTAGTAATATATCATTTGCCCTATAATCCATATATCTATGCTAAACTTACAATCTTCTATGTCATTTTCCGTCTAATAATTGAGTAGAAACTATAAGTGGTTGACACATACCTCCATCCCAACCCCTGAAGCAATCGACAGAAAGAGGAAGTTATGCTAAAAGAAGTTGGTAAGGACAAAAGATGAAAGCAAGAATAAGAAGAAGAAATGGCAAATTATTCAGCTTTTGCTTGTCTTTCAAACCCTTCTCCTCTTTATTTTCCCTCAAAATGTGCCCAATATTTTCTCTCTCACCAAACTGGGAGAACCTTCGCCCAAGAGTTCACATCTAGTCATGTTCTTCTTGAATCAGGACAGGTTAGCTGACTTTTCTTTACCTGATTTCATATCGTAGTATAGTATGTATCTTGATGCAAGGATCATCAGTTACCTGTTTCCTTTTAGTATTTGTAAGAGAAGGGTTTTAACTTTTAAGGTTTTAGTTTTTCGTTTCGTTGGTTTTTGTTGTGTATTTGTTTGAGTAAATTACAACTATGTAGAGTCGTGATTTAATTTTCCTTCCAGATGTTTCTTTTACTTCCCAAAGGGTCCCCGAATTGTAATTTCTTGCACCTTTGGTCCCTAGCTTGGACGGCGCTAAACAAGATCCGTTAAATCTACAAAAATCGACTAACTTGCCTCATCAATCAAGCTCCGACAATCATATGGTTTTCAAGTCTCCATTTATGAACCAGTCGATCTAACACCCAAAAAGAGCTTTTTTATTTTATTTTTATTCATATATTTATTTATTTTTGAAGTTTAAGATGATGGGGATTGAGGAATTGTTTAGGGTTTTCATTAAAAAAGACGACATGCAAGTATGTAGTGAAAAAACTAGGTTATGGGGTAAATGAAATATACAATATCCTTCCTAATTAGTTACACATTAATGGAATAACACGATAGAAGATAATCGGTTATGAAATCATGATATTTGCTAAAAGAAAGTATATATGAGTGTTACTAGCTAATTATGTGATGTACGTTCTGATCGATGTACAGGTCGCATGCAATGAAGGTGATGCGGCTTTTTATCTCAGCAGTTTGTACGGTGTTGAGCTTTCTAGGCCTCCAATTTTGGACAGAATTTTCTAATGTGAAGCTACATTCAGATGGTTTGATCATCGATGGAAACTATGTGCACTTTTGTGTTTCCAAATGTGCAGTGGATAAGCCATATATCACATTTGCTTTGGTGCTCAATTTTATCCTCAACGTTTATATACTCATCTTTATATCTCTTAAGGTACTATATATTCTTCGGCTTAATTTTCTAGTAGTGCTTATTACGTTTATGTTTGGTTCCTTAAATACTGTATCTTTGATATTTTTAATGATATATTTCTTCATGCAGACGATATATGCAACTGAATCTTGGAAATTGGCGGAAAAAATAGTATTATATGTTCTCTACAAGGTATAGAGGCACTAGTAATGTCTTGTGATGATGCAAATTACTATATATGTGTGTATGAATTAATTAATGATGCATGCATGCGCATGTATATATACATTTATTTGATTTACAATGATGATATTGATGGTGACTATATATTCAATTTTTCAGGGAGCATCTCTTGTGGTGGTAGTCCCACTAACTCTAATTCATGCAGGATTGTGGTCAACATGGTTGACCGTAGCATGCACTTTGAAGGTATATCTATATATATTAATTTGTGCATTGTTAATCATCGATCTGAAGAAAATTGGGAAGTTTTATATATATGGATATAATTTACTTTTCATTTTTCTTTTATAGATATTTGAAGCTCTAGCCAGGGAACGCCTCGAACGGTTGAATTCATCATCATCTCGGTGCAAGACTTTGGAATCACTTGGGTCATTATTCTGTTTTATTGGTGGTTTTCACTGTCGACGCAATTTGGTATTCACTTTTATTTTTTTATAAATCTTAACGACTTTCTGATTTCGGTTTACACGTGCATGTCGTTCTATGGGTTTACAAATTAGAGGATTCAGGTTATCATTTTTTTTTTTTTTTTAACTTTTTTGCAGGATTACGATGTGTGCACTGATGTACAAAAAAATACCATTGCCCGTGTTATTGTTATTATTCTTTGAGCCTCTTAGTATTGCTTTCAAAACGTTAAAGGTAATAAATACATACACTGACTATATATGCATTGCCTATATATAATCTCATTTGGAATTATAGAATTTAGAATTTTGTTTCATAACGTGCCTGATCAAGTTTTTGGTCTACATCGATCGTTTTGGTTTAATTTAGGGCATTGTGGTTCATGGATTTCAATTGCTTGATATATTGCTTCACCACTCAGTTCGTAACACAACAAATAATTCAAAAATATCAATACTTTTGGTTTTGGATACGTCAGCAGCAGCGGGAGGCAAGACTCTTCTTTTTGTTATCCAACTTATTTTTATTTTCCTTCATTTGCTAATTCTAGAGATGACGATTTAATTAATTATGTGCAGATTCACAACTGAAATGGGAACGGAAGCGTGTTATATTACGGAATGTATGCTTTTTCCTAGATATTATAACGTGGTTGATGGCTTTTGGGCATTATGTGTATGCATGGAGGCTTAATGGCAAGTCATACCTTATGCTTAACCTATGTAAGTTCGTTCATATGTTCTAATTCTACTCTCAAAATGCTTCTATTTTGTGAATTTATCCTTTCTTGATCCGCCAAAGACAAAAATAGCAAGCTACATTTGCTTACAAGAGTGTATATTGTATGCAGCGTTTATGGATATCATTTCAGTGCACCGTTTATTGAGTTAAGAATGGCTTAGAGAACCCTTCATTGGGAACCTAGTGGATGGAGAGCTTGTTTATAAATTATAAGTTTAAGTATGTATCCAGCTGTTAGGATTTAATCATAAACTAATTGTGTTTGTAAGTTTATTTATCGTTGTTTATCACCTGGGGTTTGGTGACTATATCACCGGTTGTGGACATTTAGTTTTGTGGTCATGTGAGTTGCTTTGGATTTGACATGTGATTAAGTTGTTCAATTAGGTTTTGTTTTCTTTTGACCATGCATATCTATCCGTTTATATAATTCTTTATTGTTTCGATCCCATTTATAGTTCATAGTTAATTTTATCTTGCAATAAGAACTGAAAAAGGCTTTTGTAATTTACTCTTTAAATTATTTACCACATTTGGATTATTATGAACATCGTCAAACGAAATACTAAATTTTCTATTTAATATACAAATAGATGGCACCCGTGTCTGGCAAACCGAACCCGTTAAAACAAACACAAAATTTTAGTTTACGAAACGAAAAAGGGAAAAAAACCCGGCTTGCTTTTTGACCTGGACCCAAACCGGTCTAAAACTTGGTTTTCCTATACATGGTCTAGACACTTGGTTTCAACGTTAATAATTAAACCCAATGTTTTAAAACTCGGGTCGATCAGGCCGGTTCAACCGGTTGGATCGTGACCTCGAGTAGAAGACCGGTCAATTGAGAACAGTTTTTTTGTAAAAATACAGATCGGATCGAACCGTCCGAGTTTCCCCTAAACCATGGTAGAACCGTTATGTAGAACCGGTTAAAACCGGATTGACATGTTTTTTTGTAATCTATGTGGTTGTTTATTGTGTTTAGGTTGATCTATACCATGTTTTGATATGTTTTTCAATGTTTTAACTTTGTGGACATCAAATTATTGGTTTTATATGTCTATGCATTATGCTCGAAAGTAAAAATATATGGAAATAGAAAAAGAGTAAAAGACCATAAACCGGGTTGACCCGACGGTTGAACCGGTTGACCCGTGAACCAGTCATCACATCGGATCAACTAAAAACCTGGGTTTTAAAACATCGATTAAATCCAGAATGAACCTTTTCCAATGATCCTGATTTTCCCAAATGCAGGTCGGGTCGGAATAACAGATCTTGTGTGAACCCTCAATATGACATTGCACCATCTAAACGAGTGTAATTAGTAACACAGCCAAAAACAAAAGAGCACAAATCAATCCACACCCTTTCTCAAGAATCCAATAACCACATATATTTTTGTCAAAAGTAATTAGTGTTTGAAAGTGTAAGATAATGATTTTCCCATAAAGATATAGATATATTCACATTAGATTTCAATATAGATAAGCGTACAATGGCCTTATTAATGAAAATATCAGTATATTGTGACATGAACATGGAGAGGAAAGTATTACGTTAGTAAGGACAAAGAAAAGGCACCAGAAGAAATGCCAAATTATTCAGCTTTTGCTTAAATAATATCTCTCCGAGCTTCGTGTGTGAGCCAAGATGGGTGAATTCCTGCTCAAGACTCCACTGGTTCGCTAATTTTTTCTTCACCTCATATCATATAGTGTTGTTAATTTTCGACACGACACTAAAATAAATGGGTTTGGGTTGAATTTTTTAACCCGCCAATCCGTTTATATTTTTAATATAAAAAATTATTTTATTTTTAAATGTATTTATATATGGATTGGTTGTTTGGAGAAAAATGTAGTATTTTATAATTTATTGTTTACTTATATTAACTATTATTTTGTATTGATTTTTTTATTTTTATCTTCCTTATCCAGTTGATACTCATGTTGATATCGATAAACTAACTCAAAATGTCATGGATATGAACATTGTTGAAGACAAAACAAAGGTTACGAGTTCTAATAAACTTTAACTTGACGTTTTGTGAGTTATTTTTAATGAAAACTATACATTTATAATTTTACTTGTGTGTGTTTTAACATTGGCTATTGTTTCTACTTTAAGTTAAGTTCATCATAAAGAAGAAAATGGTGTTAGAGAATTGACTTTGTTTTTTGGGAAAAAAATAGGAATTGTGGTTATTACTTTAACACTTGAATTATCTATGTTTGTATTAATGTTTAGTTTCAACATGTTTCTATGAATGTTTTTAATTTTCATTTTGATGTTTAAGACTTAAGTGTCTAAAATTCGGATATGTTTGTATCAACCATCAATAATTTATTCATGTTTAATTGTCAATTTTATTTATAGAATCTAACCCACAAACATAAATCTGACCCACAAACCCGCAAACCCGTGACATGTATATTTAAATGGGTCGTGTTTGAATTGACATCTGTTAACCCGCCAACCTGCGACACGCCAACCCGAACACGACATAATTGTCAGGCATATAATAATTATCTAGATGCAATCAGATCATCAATATATGTGTTTCTTCTTCTCTACTTTAAACTAAATCTCAAACTTATTTTTTAATCTACCTCAAGTCATCAATTATATAATCATCAATTATATAATTGTGAGGATAACTGACGGATTACGGTTTTATACTTTAAACCAAATCTCAAATGAGGCTACCAAGTTTCGAACTAGCGTTATCTCCTTTGATAGCCTAACATGTTAACCACAAGAGCACGCTTCAGTTTGTGTTTATAGCCCAAGGACAGCGTGTGTGTGTATAACTCACAAAATACATATGATATATGAATTTTGGTTCGGTTCGATTTCTTTCGGTTTTACCAAACCCAAAAACCGAACCTAAATCGAAATTTTCGATTTTTGAAAATTTTAAACCCAAACCGTCAGTTTATGCTTCGAATTTGATTTTTCATTTCAGATTTTGATATCGCTTGTTACTTGTTAAGCACAACGAGAGCAATAAACGATAATTATGAAGAAATGTAGAAGAAATCAACAAAGAATGAACAAAAAGGATTTATCTGATTTTTTGTGATATATGTCGTAGAAACATAGACAAATGAAAGAACTCAGAAAACCATGGTTTTGAAAACTTGATAGGAATGGCTGGTTCGACCAGCCGAACTGGAACCGGCGTGTTCACCGGTTTTTCCAAACCCCAAAACCCTTGTTTTCGAACGAATGTAAATTGGACGGTTCATATTACAATATTGCTATTGCTATTATTGTGATTATTAGAAAAATATATATATAAAAAAATAAATGTAAGATGCTATGATAAACAAATCATCGGAAGCACGAGGTCATTTTTCTTGCACAAAAGACTACACTCACTTAAAAAAAAGTAAAGGGCATTATTAGTACAAACCGATACAATTAAAATTAAATCGGACATGTTCTCTTCATCTTGTGTATTGTCCTTACTAAAACTATAAATTTTGGACTACATAATCGAGTGCATGATGCCTACCTTTAGAGCTCTTAACCACTCTTATTACTGATAAACTCATGAATCACGATGCTTCCTCTCGACGAGGAACCAATAGTATTATATAGTTTACACTAAAGATATTGAAATATGATGACTGAAGATAAATTATACTTTCATTTTCTTTCCAACTTGAAAAAAAAAAAAACAAATAAAATAATAAGTTTTTATTTTTTTTTTATTTCTTTTCGTTTTGGTCCTTTTTCTTAAGAAAAACTCGAGATCACCGTGTTAAACATGGAAAACATGATTTAAAGGTGAAAATAAAGTTAGCCAAAAGTTTCCCCAAAATATATATCACTATTTCCAATTTTATGTACGAGTAAATTACATGAATCGTATATTGTCAATTGTCTAGCGATAGAAAAGCACGTTTATTTTTTACTTTTTAAAATTAATTCAAACTATTCCTTATTATTTTAAAACTCGCACGCTTTGTCTCCTGTTAGTTTAATTTTGCACATTGTATCATTTGCCAACCATAAAATGATTATATTGCTCTTAATATTTTATTTTTAATTTAATTATAAATTATTTTATATTAAATAAAATTAAATACCCCAACCCACCCACCCCTCCCCCTATCCTTTTACCTTTCTTGTTTCCAAGTCACCGAACCCCACCAACACTTCACCCGCTTAATCTTCCTCCGACGAACATCGCCTCACCGAATTCAACTTCCTCCGGTGAGCATCAAGAAACTACTTATCTCCTTTCTGAAAGACTAAACCCCACCAAACACCCTAAACGAAGAACTCTCTCTCTCTCTCTCTCTCTCTCTCTCTCTCAATGAAGAATTGTTGAACTCTTTCTTCCTTCTCTGTTCAAATCAGAGATGGAGGCGACCATTGTCTCCGACGACATGGTTACATAGGGTGACAGTAGGTTGTGGAACACTAGACTCTTTCTCTCTTTTCTATTTGAATAGGAACCAAGTTCAGATTCATTTCACGACTAAGTGCAACTAATTGATTGCCTCATATGATCGAGCATTTAGGGTTTTAATACCTTTTTAGATCTGTTTTTATCATTCCCAGAAACTAACTCACAAAGATGAAGGGGTGGTTTCTAGAGGTCCGATTCTACATGTTTGGGGGGGTTTCAGCATCGATCTCATCATTGATTTTGATTTCAGAACTTCTAGTGTGGATCTCAACATCAATTTTGATCTATGGTCCAAATTTAGTTACAGGTTGTGACCTAAAGATGATTGATTGGTGTTGGAATAGGTAGAAGGTGGTAAGGTTGAAGTTCCACAATCGGGTGGTGATGTCGGATGTACTAGTGGTGATAGGTGGTGGTTTCGGAGGAGTTAGTTGTGATAAATGGGTGGTGTCGGAGGGGAGGGTGGTGGGGATATTTGTTTTATTTTTATTTTTTAATTCAAAACTGATAAATAAATAAAAGAAAATGAAAAAAGAAAGTAATAAGGTTAAAATAGTCATTTCAAGTCAATATGGATGAAGCGTGTAAGTTTAAAACAAACGAGAGATGGTCTGTGTTAATTTTTAAAAATAAGGATTAAACTTATGTTTTGGCACTTACATGAGAGATAATTCGTGTAATTACCAAGTTAATGATACTTGTATAAACATCATTTAGTTAAGTCGAAGTTCAAAAAACTCAAAATCCACATACAAAATTGATTTAGGTTTGATTTTTGTGATTATTTCGTATTGACTAAACAATTAGATGTTGAAGTAACAAAAATTATTCAAAAATTTGTTGTTAGGAACTATTTTATCTAAATAATATTTATGGCTTTTGTTATATCATGATAACGAATTATCTATTACTAGTAATTTGTAATATCTTCATGTGCCTTT